CGCCGCCGACTCGGGCGACGCCGCGAGGATGCTCGGGTTCTGACCCGCCTGGCTCCACCCCGTCTCCATGATCATGATCGGCTTGCCGCGCTTCACAGCCTGCGCGCGGATCGGGATGAGGCGGTCGAACATCGTGTTGACGCCGTCCTCGACCGGGATCGTCTCCCACTGCGAAAACTGGTTGGCCGACACCACGTCGACCGCGTCGTAGAGGTTGGCCGAGTACTTGTACGCGTCCATGACGTCCGAGATGGTTACGGGGAAGTTGAGGCCGTTGGCGCGGACAAAGTCGCGGGTGCGCGAGACGTAGCCGATGAGCTTTTCGGTGCCGTCCGTCTCCGAGAAATCGTGGCCGCCCTGGATGTAGTGGCGGTAGATGGCCTCCGACGAGACACCGATACCGAGCACGTTGTCGTTGCGGACCTTCTTCTCCTTGACGAGGCGCTGGAAGTTGGCAAAGTCGCGCTCAAACGAGTCGAGGTCGGCTTCGATGTTGCCCCAGAGACCCATCCAGATCTTCATCTTGTGCTCGCCGGCGATCTTGAGCACGCGCTCGACGCACGGGTTCTCGGTCGAGTAGATGCGCACGTTGGTCGTGACCGTGTTCATGGCCTTGAAGTCCTCGCGGATCGCCCACTCGGACTTGCAACCGCCCCACTGGTTGGCCCGCGTGTCGTAATCCAGACCGTAGAAGAAGCGGTCAAGGCCAAGGGTCGCCTGGACGGCCCCGGCGATGACAGCGCAGGTCAATGCAGCCTTCATCTGGACGATTCGGAAATGAACTGACTGGCACAAGCTGTGGCGCGCTGCAACCTGATTTCAGGCCTCAGATTGCACCTCGGTGGATGCAATACAAAGAACAAGTGTTTAAATAAATCGTGCAAAAAATGCAATGAGTGGCATCACGGAGCCCTGAAATAAGGCCACAATTCGGATATCACCAGGTGGCAGCCAGCATATCATCTTGCACCGAGCGCGATACAGTGCACCGAGCGTGGGGCTCGGAGCGACGACCAACCAAGAGCGCGCGGACGCTTGGATGGCTTTTTGTCCCTTCGTGGACCATACATACATCAACATATCGTACTGTACACGGGGCCAAGGGGAAGCGACCAGGTCTGGATTCCGCAATTGCAGGCGCAAAGTGCAGTGGGTGAGATGCGCACCGTAGTTCAAACTGGCGGTCGGCTTCGTGTCTCGACACCGCATCGGCGAGCTTCAGGAAGCGATGTATCGAGGACGAGGTTTGACCGAGATCCAAGAGCTTGCTCGTCATGTCCTGCTTGTGCAGGACGAAGGGACCAAGGCGCCGCCGATTCGACGCGTGCCAACCACCTGCCGCAATCGAACGAAGGGACATTTCGAGGTCCCACCATCAGACGCTGGAACCAGCTGCGCGCCTTTCGATCAACCTGCGATCAGCTGACGGCAGCAAGTTTCGGCGGCCTGTATTCGTACAGTATCCTAGCCTCTTGGACCCGTTGAATTCGTTCACGCGGCTGTCTCTGTCTTCGTCAGCAGGTAGCGGCGAATCCGGCGCCTGCTCCGTCACACGCGCGTTTGTGATTGGCCAAAAGAGAAGGGTGTTTCAGTATCAACCAATCACACGTGACTGCTGGATCGTGAAAGATCGCTTTCTGCGACTCGTTGCGAATAAGAGATAGTAACACTTATACACTGCGTGGTTAATAAGAGCTGCACGCGTAGACGATGGCACGAACAGATAGGTGGATGCCCTTACCGCACCGGCCAGAAGGTCGAGATGATGCGGTACCAGCCAGGCCAGTACGACGTTGACGCCTCCGTGGGCTCTGGTGTCGGCTTGTGCGTCGGGGGCTTTGTTGGCTTGTGCGTCGGGGCTTTCGTAGGCTTTGGGGTTGGCGCCTCTGTAGGCTCGGGCGTTGGTGCCTCCGTCGGCTCGGGTGTCGGCTCGGGCGTTGGCGCCTCCGTCGGTTCTGATGTTGGTGCATCAGTGGGCCTGGGCGTCGGACTTTTTGAGGGCTTGACCGTCGGTGCTTTTGTGGGCTCGGACGTCGGGCTGTCTCTGGGCTTCAGCGTCAGTGCTACCGTGGACTCGGGCGTCGGTGCTTTGATTGGCCCGGACGTTGCTGCTTCGGTAGGCTGGTGCGTCAGGCTTGGTATGGGCTTGGGCGTGGAAGCGTTTGTCGGCGATGGCGTCGATGCTACTGGTGTTGTCGTCGCTGCCACCACGGTGGCTTCGGCTCTCGAGGGGCGTGGTGCAGTCGTCGCAGGCGATTCAGTAGGCACAAACTTGACGGGCGCGGTGGGATCGACGACGATGGCGTCCGGCACAATCGTCGAGGCGGGTGCACTCGACAGAGCAGCCGTCGTTGCTACCGGAGTGCCAGACGCAAGACCTTCCGTAGCTTGCGGCAATGGGGTCGGAGCGCCGGTCGACACCGCTTTAGTCGTTCGCACAACAACCGCCGGAACACCAGTTGCAGTATGAATGTCGGGATCCAGCGGATTTGTGCCGACAGGCTCGGACGGAGTCAGCGTCGCTGGAAGCGGTGGTGACGACGAAGACACCGGTTTCGACACAATCGGGGTCGCGTGAACGACTGTTTGCGGCACTGAAGAGCTCACGGGCACTGGTAGCGTTGCTTTGGTCGGCGGCAACGTCACAGCGAGCGTCGACTGCAGGTGCTGGGTCACCTCGACTCCCAGCGACGGTACCGTGGTTCGTCGCTCTGTCGTTACGATTGGCGGCGGCGTCGGCGATGACGGCGGGCGCGTAATGACCGATGTGTGCTTTGGCGTGCCGGCTGGCTGCGTCGGCACCTTGATCGTCGGCACCGTTGCTGTCGGTGGCGTCTTGGTCGTACCTTTGGAAAAACCTGTACTCTGAGACACCGGATGGTGCGTCGATGCGGGCTGGGGCGTCGTTACCGCCGGTGTTCGCTGTGCCGGAGCTCCACTTGGTCTGGGATGCGATGCCGCCGGGGTCGGCACAACCACGGCCGGTGGCATCGTTGCATGCGACGCTACTGTCGAGCTCGGATACGCTGCTCTGGATGGCTCGGGCAGATCGGTGTGTTCCATAGCGACCGGCTCGGTGACCGACAGCTGCGCCTCTACTGTCGGCGCAATGGTTGCTGCGCGTGGCGTTGCTGTAGCCGATGGAGCCGGGGTGGTCACTTGCGTGGGCGTCGCCGTCACCGCAAGCGTCACGGCGGTTTCTTGATGCTCAACCTCTGTGGGCCGTGAAACACCTTGGGTGGCCGTCGATGATGTCATCGGTGCTGTCGCCACAGCACCTCGGGATGGGTGCGGCGACACCGT